TATATATATATATATATATATATATATATATATATATATATATATATGTATATGTATATGTATATGTATATGTATGTATATACACACACACACACATTGCCCTCTCTCAATTTTTCCCAATATACATTGATCATTCCCATAGTCCTTTTTTCAGTATATCGAATTATTTTCTTGACATTCATCACAGTCACCCAACCCGGATTTGTGTCCTATGCACCTGTCCGGGAATGGGTTTTCCGCACATCACATCCTTCCATGAGAATGATTGTTGTGGACACATTACTACATCAGGATAGAATTTGGGGATGGCTCTCCTCAAGTTGGTCAACTTTCTCGTAGAATATGAGGTTAATAACATTTAGCTTCCCTTATGTTTACAACCTCTAACCCATCAATCACAACATGAATCCACTCACTCCCGAGTAGTCGATGGCCACACCATGTTGCTTTTGGAATCTGGAAAGTGCTGAGAATTAACTGCTGTGATACCACTTGTTGTGAACTTGCTCGAAGAGAGGAGAAATGATCCCATACATTAGTAATATAAAGGAGAGTACTTGGTATATTTGATCTTATAGTTAGATTACATGAGCCATTCAAGAACAATATGCAACTCTATCAGCCATAGTAGCTTACTTCACTTTGAATATATATATATATATATATTCTACAACATATTTATATGTGCTACGTAATCTACCATTTACTACGCTTCTCACACTCCATTGATCTGCTCACCATACTTCGTTAGATCCGCGATGAACTGATCCAAGTTCTTATGTGACGAACCCTCGGGAGTGAGTGCAATCTCGAGGGCTCTCCTGACCTCCCTTGTGTTCTTCCTGGCCTCATTCCCTGCTTCTCCTTCCATCAAGATCTCGATTCTCTTGCTTACTTCCTCTCTGTTCACCTTGTTCGTCCGTCCTAGGTCGAGTCCGATCCTCCAGTCATTGACCACCAGTTTCCGATTCGTGAACTGATCGGTGAGGAGGGGGAAGCAGAGCAGCGGAACCCCGCACCATATGCTCTCCAAGATCGAGTTCCAGCCGCAGTGGGTGAGGAAACCGCCGATCGACCGGTGCTTCAGCAGCTCGACCTGGCAGCACCATGGCACCACCACCCCCCTCCCTTGGCTCTCCTCCGCGAAGTCTTCGGGCAGCGGGTCGGGCTCGTCGGAGCTGACGACGTCCGACCGGAGCACCCATATGAAGCTGACCGTGCTTCCGAGAACTCCGTGGGCTATCTCCTCCAGGTCCCGCCTGCCGATGTGCGCGTAGCTTCCAAAGGAGATGTACAAGACGGAACCCGGCGGTTTGGAGTCCAGCCACTGGGAGCAGTCGGATTCCGCCCACAGGCTCGTCGCCACGGCGCTCCTGGTGAACCCCGCGGGGAAGATCGGCCCCACAGCATAGAACGGCTTCTCCCGCTGCAGGGCGGAGATCGTGTCGGACTCCAGCTCTTGCACCGTGTTGCACAGCACGAAGTCCGCGGCCTTGGCCTCGTCGAACGCCTTGAAGATGATCTGGTGCACCACCGTCGACACGTCCGTCTCCTGCAGGTACGACATGAGGTCAGCCGGCTCGATCGCTGCCACCCCTGGCACGTACGTTATCGTGTCTTTGCTGTTATCTACCACCAAACACATGAACGAATCGTGAGGAAAAAATAAAAAGAGTAGACGAGTAGGAATCGAGATGTGTCGATCACCGTGAGAAGCGAAGTGGCCATTTCGGATGAGGAGATCCATGTGATAGTAGAGAGAGAAGATGAGCGCCGGCTCGGTCCAGAAGGATACGTAGGGGATCCCAAACTTCTTGGCCAAGGTGGAAGGCCACACGAAGAAGGTGTCGGCGATGAGGCAGGTGAGGGGAGGGTCGGCGCGCAGCGACAGCTTCCGTATGAGCTCCTCGACGTGGGCGGAGAGGACGTGGAGAACGGCGAACATGAACTGGTCGTGGTTGAGAGAGCGGTCGAAGGCAACGGGGAGGCCGTCGCTCACGAGCTCGTAGCGTATGTCGAGGCCGGAGGCGCGGGCGGCGGGGAAGATGTCGTGGCCGAGGTCGGAGCCGGAGCGGCGGGCGGCGCAACAGGTCTGGTGGTGGACGGCTTCGGTATTGACGAAGGTGATGGCGAAGCCCCTGGAGGCGAGTTTGATGGCGAGGTGGACGGCCGGGATGATGTGGCCTTGGAGAGGGTAGGGGACGAGGAGGGCGTGAGGCGGCTTCCGGTGAGAGGCAGCCATTGTTTAGCGATGGGATTGCGTTAGTGTTTCTGCTGAGAAAGAGAGACGGTGTCAGGGCGGCTTCATTCAGCCATCGAACATATCTATGTTATTATAATGCATTCGGGACATCAAAGTTTCGAGTGAGAGGGTCCCCAATGTCTCAAAATGTTGGGCCCCACGATGGATGTAATCCAATTAATTATATGAGGTTTTATCAAATACGATTTGATCCAAAGGCTATCAGTAGACTTATGGAAACTTATATACCGACTAAGCTAATCAGTATCTTTCATCAAAAATTGAAATAGTAAAGGGCATGATATAGTTCAGTTCATAGCGACTTGGTTTTTGGGTTGGCTATCGTTAGAGCTAGCCCCAAGAAATTTACCACAAGGTAATTTTGGTAACGCAACAAAGACAATAAAACGAAAAATAAAAGCGACAAGAACACCAGATTCAATTAACTTTGACCTACATCCACGGACGAAAGAGGAGCAAATCACTACTATAAAAAAGAGACTATTACAAATACCTTAGGAAGATGTTCCTAGGCCATAAAATACATAAAAATACTAAACAAGAAAAACCTAAAGTATAAGTCCAAACTATTTAACTGAGTAGACTTAAACCAAAGTAAATACTTAGGTTTTCTTATGGTGCCTCTTGTGGTGTCACTTGTGGTACATCTGACTTCAAAGCTCAGGCCCTTATTTATAGTTCCAATAGGAGATAACAAGTCTGGTTTTCCCGATGTGGGACTATGGGACTTGCCAAACTAACAAATCTCCACCTTGGCATGTCCCAACAAAACTTGCTCCACCTTCTTCATAAAAGCCCCAACGGGCAATCACCAATAATGAACACCAACCAAGTCCAAGCACTGCTTGAACTTGTAAACCGGAAGAGGTTTCGTAAGCATATCAACTGGATTGTCCTTCGTATGAATTTTCTAAACAAGGACCTTTCCCTCACCCTCAGCAATAGTATCCCATTTGCATCCAACAATTTTCTTACCCGAAGGCGACTTTACAAGATCCTAAGTTCTATTCCGATGGAGAGACTCAATTTCTTCATTCATCGCAATCAACCACTTAGCGGAATTATCACAAGAAACTGCATCTGAGTAGGAAGTAGGCTCACCAACTTCATTTGTCTCTTCTACAACAGACAAAGCATATGCAACCAAATTTGCATATCTTTATGGTGGTCGAATATCTCTCCATGGTCTATCCTTGGCTATGGAATATTGCTCTTCCTCTGGATCATCTGCGTCAGTAGACTCGGGACCATCTACTAGCATTCTTTGAGTAGAAGAGTTCGACTTAAAAGAATTAGAACTGCCAATCTCAAGCTCCACTTGCTTCTACGCACTATCATTTGTACAACTAGTAGAATCCTCTTTTGAAGATAACATAAACAATTCATCAAAAGTAACATCTCTACTGATTACAAATTTTGGGGATTTGGGATCAGAACACCATAATCTGTATCCTTTCACCCCAGAAGCATACCCAAGGAAAATGCACTTTTTAGCTCGAGACTCTAATTTTCCTTCATTTACATGCATGTATGATGGACACCCAAAAATTTTTAAATCAGAGTAATCAGAAGGAGTACCTGACCAAACTTCCTCTGGAGTTTTAAAGTCAAGTGATGTAGAAGGAGCACGGTTGACAACGTAATAGACCATATTAATCGCCTCTGCCCAAAAGTCCTTTGTCAACCCTGCATTTGAGATCATACAACTCGCTCTCTCTAAGAGTGTTCTGTTCATACGTTCGGCCACACCATTTTGTTGAGGCGTCATCCTAACAGTGCGATGCCAAACTATTCCTTCATTTTTGCAGAATTCTTCAAAGTCACCTTCACAAAATTCCATGCCATTATCTGTTCGAAGCCGCTTAATCTGTTTACCTGTTTGTTTCTCAATCAAAGCCTCTCATTGTTTAAAGGTTAGAAAAACATCATTTTTATGCTTCAAAAAATAAACTCAAACTTTCCTAGAATAATCGTCAATGAAAGTCAACATATACTTAGCACCACCCCACCCTTAGACTGAACATGAGCTGGACCCCAAAGGTCTGAATGAATATAATCAAGAGTACAATTCGTTTTGTGAACTGTCGGAGAAGTGAAGCTGACTCTTTTCTGCTTTCCAAAAATGTAGTGTTCACAAAAATCCAGTGGCCCAGTACTCTGTCCACAAAGTAGACCCCTTTTGCTCAATATGCTCAAACATTTTTCGCTCATATGACCCAAACACATATGCCATAATTTGGTGATATCAGAATCAGACAATGATGATGATGAGACTACAACCGAACCTGTGACAGTAGTTCCCTGCAGAATATACAAGCTACCAGACCTACAAGCTTTCATAACAACAAGAGCACTTCTAGAAACTTTCATAACTCTACCTTCAGTTGTGTATTTACACCCAAGGGCCTCTAGGGTGCCTAAAGAGATGAGATTCTTTTTTTAATCAGGAACATGTCTAACATTAGTGAGCGTCCTCACAATACCATCATGCATTTTAATTCGGATTGTGCCTCTACCAACAACTGGAAAACAAATCCCTATTGGGACACATGTGATAAGAACAACCCGAATCTAAAATCCATTTATTTTTAGACCTCGTCCTGTCATCAATAGCAGAGAAAATATTTCCAACATTCTCATCAGTTGCTACACTAACTTCAGCGGATTCAATAGTTTTCTCAACAAATTTTTCCTTTTGCTTTAATTTATTTTTTAATTTAAAGTAATCAGATTTAATGTGCCCCATTTTATGACAATATCTGCATTCCAAATTTCTATGTCTGGATTTAGATCTACTACTGTCAAATTCTCTTTTATCCATTCTCCCCCTAATAACCAGACCTTCAGCCTGATTCCCTCTACTTTCCCCAGTGATATTCCTGTCTATCTGCTCATTAGATTTCAGTACAGATTTACTTTCTTGATACGAAACTGTTTCTTTTCCATAAATTAAAGTATCACGGAAATGCTTAAAAGATTTGGGAAGAGAACACAAGAGTAACAAAGCCTTATCCTCATCATCAATTTTTGCATCTATATTCTCCAAATCCATAACCAAAGAATCAAACTTATCAAGATGTAAGAGTATAGATGTACCTTCAATCATCCGAAGCATATACAGACTCTGCTTCAAGAAGAGACGATTCTCCACTATCCTCTTCATGTACAAGGCTTTAAGCTTGCCCCACATGCTCTTAGCCGTAGTCTCCGTAGCTACCTCCCGTAAAACCTCGTCATAGAGATTTAGAATGATGCTTGATCGGGCCTTCTTATCCATACCCGTAAGCTCTTCTTTTGACATATCATCTGGAATGCTCTCGGCTCCCTGTAGTACCAAATCAACTCCATCTTGAACCAGAATGGCCTCCATCTTGAGTTGCCACAAGCCGAAGTTGACATTTCTATCGAATTTCTCGACAACAATCTTTGTTATTGTCATCGTTGCCAAAAGATCCCAGAACCAGGCTCTGATACCAGTTTGTTAGAGCTAGCCCCAGGAAATTTACCACAAGGTAATTTTGGCAACACAACAAGGACAATAAAGCGAAAAATAAAAGCGACAAGAACACCAGATATACGTGGTTCGATCAATTAACTTTGACCTACATCCACAGACGAAAGAGAAGCAAATCACTTCTATAAAAAAGGGACTATTACAAATGCCTTAGGAAGATGTTCCTAGGCTATAAAACACCCAAAAATACTAAACAAGAAAAACCTAAAGTATAAGTCCAAACTATTTAACTGAGTGTGGACTTAAACCAAAGTAAATACTTAGGTTTTCTTATGATGCCTCTTGTGGTGCCACTTGTGGTGCATCTGACTTCAAAGCCCAGGCCCTTATTTATAGTTCCAATAGGAGATAACAAGCCTGGTTTTCCCGATGTGGGACTATGAGACTTACCAAACTAACACCTATGGTATTCATCTGATTTCATGAGATAATAAAGTGAAGAGTGAAATTATAAGGTGAGTCTACTAGTTGATCAGCCGTATGAACATGAGAGACACGAAGTTGACGTCTGACAACTTGATCTCGCACGAAGTGAAAGTCGATGGCAATGTGTTTCATGCGTAAGTGGAACACTGGATTGATGCATAAGTAGGTAGCTTCAATATTGTCACAATATATTATATGAGTAAGGGTAGAGCTGGCTTTGAGTTCCTTGAGGAGATTTATAACCCAATTGAGTTCAGCAGCAAACAGTAGCGATAGCACGATATTCAGCTTCAGTTGTAGACGGGGTGATTAACTTTTACTTCTTAGAACTCCAACTGATTGGATTAGACCCAAGAAAGACGACATATCATAAGTTGGAGGTGTGATCATTAAAGTTTCCCGCCCAATCAGCATTAGCAAAGGCATGGAGATGAAGTAGAGTGTGTTTGCAGAGAAAAAAACTATGATTGAGGGTCCCTTTAAGATACCGCAAAATTCGTTTGACCATAGACCAATGCATAGCAAAAGGCTGGTGCATGTATTGAGATAGTTTATTGATTGCAAATGAGATATCTGGACGGGTGAGAGCCAAGTATTGTAAGGAGCCAATTACTCGGTGGTATTGAGTTGAGTCTATAGGAATGCTGACATCACATATTTTGAGTGATGCACTAGTAGAGAGAGGAGTTACAACCATCCTACATATTTATCTTTGATAATAAGTCTTAAATATACTTTCTTTGTAATACGAGGAGATCTGAGGATGTAAATGTTACTTCCATTCCCAAAATGTAGCTTAGGGGTCCTAAATCTTTGAGGGGGAATCGATCAGCCAATTACTTTAAAAATGTCTGAATCTCTAAGGTATCATTGCTTGTGACAATAATATCATCTATATACACTAGAAGATATATTGTATTCCCATTTTGTTATTGTAAGAATAAAGAGGTATCAGACTTGGAGTTGATAAAACCAGTTGATATAGTTTGCAGACATGTCTCGGATACTGGTGATGAATAAAACCGGGGGTTGCTGCATAAAGACATCTTCAGTTAGAGTCTC